CGGGCCGTCGTCGCTGATGTCGTCGTCGGGCGAGCTGCCGAGCGGCGTGTCCTCCGCCGGGCCCTCCTCCCCGACCTCCGCGCACACCGACCACTCGCGACTCCCGGACAGGTGAGTCCATTCCTTAATCTACAAAACGTCCACAATAACATGAGACTCGAGTAGTAAGCGTCATTTATCGTATGTTATGTAATCTTGCTACTTCAACTTTACACGCCGTGCAGTCTTCAAAGTCTGCTGTTATTGTGCATGGTTAGGAAATGTTATTAATCCGATAATTAATGTATGCATGTCTTGCAATAAATTAAGGATTTCATACTTTTGTTCATTTATTGTTTTAAACTTCACTCATTGGACATATCAATTTATTTTTTACGAGTGACATTTCGGTATGAAAACCCTCGGTTATAATAATTTGAAAGGTATGAAACTGGATGTATTAAATGTGCCTCATTGTGCTTTTGAATGTTTGATTATTGTTTGTAATATTTTCATTTACCGCTCATTATTTCGATTTTGCTAATATTTTTTTGTGTTATATATACCTAACCTTCACAAAATAGCAGATTCGATTAGGCAGCTCTGTTAATGCAAAATCATCATGATTTAATGAATATATCAAATTATTAATTGTTATCACGCGAAAATATATTGTGATTATTTTTATTTTTTTACTTTAATCATGATGTATTCTTTCTGAATATTGAAAACGAATCTGCTGTCTTGGATTATTACATATTTCATTGATTTTCAACTAACATCACTTCAAACTGTATATACGCCGTTCTTAGCGACAAATGACGTAGTTATGGGTATGGCGAGTTGAACCAATGGAAACGGTTCGAAGTGACGGTAGTAGTAGTTATTGGGGGTGCATAAAAATATTGTGGATTCCAGTAGCTATTGGAGTAGAAATGTGGCGAGCGTGGTCCCCATGCCCCAGTGGGACGGGGAGGCGGCCACGCTGTGCGCGCACGACGCCGCCCTGCGCTCGCTCGCGCCACTCGCAGGTACACACACACACACTCATACTGAAATTTATTATGTGAAGCGCTTGACCACGATCACGCCTATAGTTAAGTGGTAATGTGGTCAAAAGATGGTACGCGCTAATTTAATAAATATCCATTCGCCCTTCTCTTAGGCAGGAGGAAGGCACCCACGTTATAATTGGTTGGGAACACTTTTTCTGCGCGCACGAGAAAAGACGTCTCAAACCTAGGACTTTATAAAGTCTGTAAATTAAAAAGAAATTTGACTCTTTCCATTTTTTACATGTGGGAAATTATCATTACTTAGAAGTGTGATTCGGCATTAAAACTCATGATGTAAATATTCCCAATGGGAAAGCATTACCTATCATTTTTGTGCATGAAAATGTTCTTAGAAATGCATGAAACGTCTAGCTCGATTCACAATAGCTAGATTGTATTTGGACATAGCACGCGGCTTGATGAATGTTTTCAATAACATAAATACAAAACAAGGAATTTTAAATGGGAATACAGATTTTTGTTTTTTGAAATCCGCTTACATTTGTAGCGCGTACATGCCGTACATGCGTACCCATGTATCATTTGTAAATGTATATTGTACTAGGTTCGTGTATTAGCGGCGACGTGACGCCCGTGTCGGCCGCCTCCGACCTCGAGTTCAACAGCAACGAGGCGACCGCCGGCTCCGGCACCGACCACGACCTGCTGGTGAGACACCGCACCACTCACCACTCACCACACACATCTCACTACTCATTACAACAATATGAAATACGTGATCAAACGCAATTAAACGTCACAAATCAGTTGACACTTTACTTGATCACAAGTACCACGCCTGCCCAAACAATGGTTATTACTAGCTAAGGATATTCAAATGTAATCCAGATATTACTTGTTTCTTCCCTTACTTTTACTATTTCTTTCTGTACAGAGCGCAGAAGGTGAAGATGACGAAGATACCCTGTCAGTAGACGCATGCTCCTCTCCAATGAGGATAATTAAAAACGATTTGACGACACTATCTAAGTCTCCCGGCAGTCCTGCGAGAGTGGACGACTGCGAGCCCTCGACTAGCAACGCTGCAGATCTTTACGGACTTAGTTTACAACAAACTAAAGAAAACTTGTACAAAGATATGCCTTCGAGCAGTAAAAACTACAACAACGAATACGATGTTAAGAATAAATGTTTTAAAGGGGAAAGTTCGCAATGGAGCAATTTGGACTCATTGAACTTGCAGAGTAAAGATAATGTTAGGCCTAAAGTGAAAATAACCGATGTTATGAATAATGCAAGTAGAAGATATAGTGATAGTAGTCAGAGAAGCAATGCGAGCTCGCAGGCTGCGGGCGGCAGCAGGTTTAAGACAACTTTAGTGGACGAACAGGAATTTCGCTCCGGAGCCGATAGTAAGTCGACTGACACCACGGAGCCGACAGACGCGTCCGCTCCCGCCGCCCCCGCCGCGCCACTCGTCACCAAGGCCACAAACACGAGTATCAAACCTGGTTTTAGCATCACTGACACCTAACCTTAAAATAATTGTCCAATATTTGTAAGCTTTTATAACCAATAAAATCAAATTGAACACAGATTAAGTAATTATTTTACTGTTTCTATCATCTAGTTAAAAAAATCTGTTTCTGTAAAATGAACTTGGTAGAAAGTAGACAAAATCATGTTGGAATTTGAATGTGATGGTTAATGTTGCTATTATTTTAGATTTTGAACAGCGCATTGACCCCAGTAATGCTTATATTGTTTAGTGTATAATACTATTTAGTTTTAAAATACTGTTATTGTTATCAATTATGATTAAATTAAGTATAGGTTTTACAATAAATGTGACAAATATTTCTATAATTGTTTTAATTTATTCCCCCTTTGTAACAAATTTCTATGTATAAAAATACTTTTATATCAAAAGTTGACAGATTCAGGCATTCTGACTAAACTTCACTTTTTTATATTAAAAACACATATTTACAATGGAAGTAAATAAAACAAACAGTTGTAAATAAATCCTTTTAATCATAAAAGAAATTACATAGCTGCTAATAAAATTAGGCATTCCAAAGTAAGCCCAGTGCTTCTTATCATAAACTAAGGTCTAAACTGAAACAGTGCATATATTGAAAAACATGAGAATGTTTCTGTGGTTTTCACAACTGAAACAGCTACATAAAGACATTGTTCTCGACAAAGAAAACAATAATATTGGTTTTCAATACATACACAAGCAATCCACTTACAATCCTTACAACAAAATACATACATACTGGAATGACAAAAACTAGAAATTTCTTATACTTTAACTAATATATAAACTATTTCATGTGCTTAATAAAGATAAAAACAATATTCAATGAAACCAATTCAACTTTGGTAGGGAGTAATTGCATATCTCCATCATAAAACATTTTTTTATGCATGCAAAAATAAAGAATGTTGCCATGAGATCAAAGATAAAAACATTATCAGCTACAACTTCAGCCTAAAAGATATTTGGTATGTCTTAAAAGATTTAACACAAAAAAAAACGTACAGACGAATTGAGTACCTCCTTCTTTTGGGAAGTCGGTCAGAAAATTTTACAGTGCTTTATTGTACTTTATATTAAACAATCCAATAAGATTATTTTAGGTAAAACACAATTTTATTCTCAGACAAAATCCATAAAATCAGTACATTGAACTATTTTAATGAATACATAGTTCTTAATTAGTGCAAACTATTCAAAAGTGTTATTCTAATTTCTTTTTTAACTTTAAATTTTAGTGCATAATTAAAGCTCAAACTGCATACAAGCTTAAAATTAAAATGACAATGACCAGATGCATATCACATTACAAAAAGCTTGCTAACAATGTGAATTATTCAGTTTTGAATGATGATTTGGGTGCTAAATGGAGTGTAGATAACACAATATTGTAGATTCCACAGTGCTGAATGCCCGGCCACAGCAACATCACAGTAGAAAAGATATAAAGCAAGAATATATTGTTGATCGCTGATGCCATCCATGCTAATGTCAAAGACATACTTATAGATATAATGTAATACTGAAAACAAAAGATAATTTATTAGTTTTATATCACTTATATTAAAATAGTATCTTAACTGATGCAAGATTTAGAGCTCTATAGTTATATTACCACACTTAAATTACCTTTTTATCTAAAATCTCATTATAATAAACTTTAACTTTTTCTAGTTTAAGACCAAGTTATTAGTAATTATTATCTTACCACATAGGGACTAGTTTCTCGCAGCGAATAGAAGGTGTAAATGTTCTGCAAAATCTTGTTATAATAGTTAACCAAGCTTCTACAAATATCTTCAAACATTTTTTCCTTTTGTCCAGTCCAATCGCTTGGAGTGTAGATCGAGTTACATATAATAGGCACGAGAAAATCGATGAAGTTGACAAATAAGCCAACGATAGCTATGGTCGCTAGAAAATTGAGATCCAAAAGCCATATTATTAAATAAGTTAATGAAGTAGAAGCAAAAATAGCACAAGGATGCCATTGCTGTTCCCAAAGAAAAATGGATTTTAGGGGCAGAAGAACCATACGCCAACCCTCTAATACTCTCTTCAAGATTCTAACTTGCTGTTCCTGCAGAAAATCAACAAGCATATTTAATTAACATTTTTTATTCGTATTTTTTCATATAATATGTAATTTATTTTTGATGTTACAAAATTATTACGCATTTATTTCTTAAAAAAAAATTACTACCTGATCTTGCGTCATCTTCTCGCTTGTAAACATTCGCCAAGATGAAATGAAAGATATTCCTTGAGCGCAATAAAACTTCTACTTTCCGCAAAAAGACTTCAAATTGATATATTTTATTTATGCAATTCAGATTCGGTTAAAAATTTACGAAAAACCATAGACATACAGATTCACAATTTTCACAGAGAACTTAGTCTCGTCCACAGACTATACCCACTTGAATCTACAATCAATGGGCATGACAAATTCCATAGATAAAGAACTTCTACTGTTAAAGAGATATGTTATATGGCTATTTAGGTATATTTTCATGGGTCAGGTAAGAGCTACGAATGAGCCTCAATAAAATGCTCTATCCTACTCTAGCTAAAAATATTTGGTTGTTTAAGATATCAAAAAAGTATATTTTTCATTAACAAATAAGATTAACTGTTCAATTAAAAAGGAAGTTTAAAAATAAAACAAACAATATAATGTGTAATCTTATAAACATAAATAGTGATGATTGTCTAGACTTGAAATTTGTATTGAAAAACTTGAAATATGTAACATACATAGATGTAAAATAACCATTTAAACTTTGTCAATGTTCAAGTATTTTTCTTAACATTAATTGTAAAAATACAATATAAAACAACGGCAGATAAAAAAATGTAAAACCCTTATCTGAAATTGTTATCCCATTTAAAAACATATTCACATTTGAAGCATAAAAAGAGAATATAATAGTAAAAAAATTATCACAAAATTACATTTCCTGAAGACATTAATAACAAATGCAATATAATTGTGATGCTTCTTCTGCCCCTGAGACAAAGCGAGTTTCGATGATCTCTTAGGTAACCCTAGTAGAAATAAAATGTGTCAAAACGCACACGAATAAATATGAGACAAGCAAGTAACATATCAAAATTTTTGTCAGTTCCATATATTTTTGAATTTGATCAGTGATATCGCTGAATAAACTTTGTCTATGGGGCTGTACATGGACTGTACATGCTTATTCCTTAACTCTGCGGAAGTAACGCTTGCCCGGTGTACTTGCCTTTTCATGAGTGAGTGTCTGTAAGATTATAAGCACATTACCATATAAAACAGCAATTGAGACCAAAACAATACCTGTAGCAGCAGAATGCAGCTCTACACTAGTTGTAATACTGAATAGTAAACATTTTGTAGAGAGTATTAAACTATACTTACAACAATGCATTCCTCATCACTAAATAAATAGTGTCTTCCACATTTGGCTTGATTTTCTGGTATGACCGAATTTGTCATGATTTCATTATCATTTACAATAGTTGTGACACTCTGAAATTAAAATATTTAATGCATAAGTATAAAATATATGACAGAAGTTTACTCAAGCTAATGATAATATACACTCGGTCTAAGCTATATAAGTTACATAGAAGTTGGTTCAGTAAATTCAGTACATAATCAATCCACTGTTTCATAGATCTTATAAAAAATGGAACAGGTAAATTAACAAAAAGAAATTATGGCATTGATAAATTAACTTGAAATACCTTAATAGTAGTGTTTGGCATATGTTCCTCATATTCCTCACCAATTTTAAATTTATGTTCCACTGTTCTAATTAATGATGAATTCTTGATTGACATATTTTCTCCATCAAACGTTATTTCCATTAATGGTGAAGACATTGCCATCATTTTTCTACCAATGTATGGTACACCTACCAACATATATCATTACGCATGAGACTTGAATTCAACATATAGACAAGAATGTTTTAGTTTTTTTGAAGAATGAGAGTGATAGAAATAAATAAATGCTTTATTATTTCTCTCTAAATAAAAAATCTAGCAATAAGATGGATGCTTCGACAATCAAAACCCATACTTAACATTAATTTGTATATAAGATCTGTTTTAAAGACTCACCAACAGCAATAAAGTAGTCATCAATGTTTTCATTTTTATAATGTTGATATTTTCCTTGGATGGGTGCCATTTTATATTCTCAAGTACCACGAAATCTCTAAATCAAGCAAAAGGATTTTTTTACTAATACAAATAAAATTATTCTGTTAAACTCTAACAAAAATGAAGTCTTGACAACTGATTGATAACTAATGGTTATCAAAATACAATTTTAAGGATTATAAGTCAGAAGTTTGATAACATTTATCGTTAAGTCACGTCTTTCCAATCGCGATAAATTTGCGAAGATAGATTGATAGTCTTAATTAATTTTGTTAATATTTACATTATTTCACACTACGTTCAAACTAGATAAGATCATCTCTCCAACCTTTTATTAATGTATGTACAATTCTAATGACCTTCTTCAATTTATAACAGTATCAATGCTAGTTTTTCTTATATTATTTCTAAATATATAATCTAAATTATTTATAATTGTTTATTATAAAGAATTTCGGTTTCTTTGACAATCATAAATGATAATAATTTGGACGTTTGACGGCTTGAGTTTGACACATACTTTTCCTTCATCATGCCCGGTTTATACTTGGCCAGTACAGTTGATCAGTAGCACTCAAAAACTGTGCTAGTAATCAACTAGCAAAGTCGCCCTAACTTAAGATGCCCATCTAAGGTTAGGGCGACTTTGCTAGTTCGTGATGATGCTCCCATTGGACCGTATCTGGCAGAGTGCAAACGCTAACAATAACAGGCGCCTATTAGTATCGCTTGCCGCCGCAACTGTCTCACTGTATTGGCCATGTGTGTACCGAGCAAAAGCCATAGATAAAAATTCTCTATGTGTTTTTGTCACAAAGTGTTCTTGTGTCTATGCTGCTGGGTAATGGTGATTGCTTTTGTTGGTGGAGTGACGTGTGTGAGCGAGATGTGAATTGAATGTTTTGATTTTTATCAACTTTATAAGAAAATCAATTCTACACAAACTAAGTTAATTTATTTAGTAGTATGTGATGTTAGATATTAAGTATTAAAGAGTGCTTACTATTTACTGCATTTTTCTAGTGTAAATAAGTTTTATCTTTTGGTAGAGTTCATAACAACAGTTGATCGATTTCAATATTTCAAATATAATTGTGTACTGAAGTGTTCGAAAATGGGCGACAAAGACGATTATTTAACGTGCTATCGAGTATTTTTTGAAAATTTTGCTGCGACCGTGAACCACGAGGACCAACTACCAGTAAACATTGTTGGGTATACAATCACAGAGGCCGAGTTGCCGGGAGAGGTGATTTATTGGATGACCCAGTACCTGACAGAAAAGTAAGTCCATAACTCCCAAAAACCTATTCAATGTTGTTGTGGAAAATAAATAATAAGGTGGTAAAGGGAGTAGTAAACAATCTCATAAACTCATTTACAACTTAAGATATTACTTGCCTGCCTGGATTTTGAGGGGATGGGTAACTGAGGGTAGATTTAGAAAACAAAAATTGTTAATGATAAAAAACTTATTCTTCATATGTTCTAAGTTAGTTTTAAAAATAACATTATGGCTACTGAAGAAATTTGAATTTGAAGTTAAGTATATTTTATTAAAACCGCTACTAAGAAACAAATCAAACATTTTATATAAAGATGAACTCAATGGAAATTTGATTTATTTAATTTGATTCTAGTTTTAAGAGTTTTCATAATTATAATACACAAATATCTTTAAATTATGAACCTTTATTGTTTTTCTGTAATTTAAATGTTATTAAAAGTAAAAGTAAATATTATTAAAATCAGTATATAATTGATTCTAAATAAAACAAGCTAAATAATGTCCGCACATACTTAGCAGAACTGTGTTCATGTAAATATTTACTTGTACTAGTGTAGTATTGTATTATTTTTGCTTATACATAATAAGTACATCTCCATGCACTATCATGACTCGTGCACATAAATACATTTATATTATCTATACATATGTTAAAGTACTAAGGAAAGCTATGTAAAATTATTAGTGTTTATTATTGTCATTAACAACTCGGGGCCTGTCCCACTACTGGCTGATAGAGGCTCAGATAGCTTATAAATGATGTCACTGTCAGATATGGGATCAACATCTGATATTTCCATCACACATTATACATGTTGGATTGTTATTAGACAATTTACAATTTGGTGGCACAGGCCTATCCATGGTATTGTTACTAAATTCTCTTGATTCAACAAAAAGGTTCCAATAACAATACAATTTATTTGAAAAGTGATTTTAAGTTTAAAAGTTTTTTTTAAAACAAACGCATAATTAAAGTATTGTATGAACAATGTTTGTGTTGCATTATATCAAAAAATTACATACATCTAATTTGTATGTTACAACAAAGCAGTGATTGCATGCGTTTTCGCCGGATCGTCGACATCTTATAAAAGGACGAAATCAATACCGGTCCATTGGAGATGTTTCGCAAGCTTCGCAAGGGTCAAGGCCACCCGAAGCTCTCGCGTACCACACGAACACGCCCTGATTTACGAGTTTAGAAAATGTTAAATTTATAAATAGCATTCTGAGGGCCAAGGTAAGGTGCATTCACCTCACGAAAACCGATAGAGGTCTTAAATAAATATTTATTCAAGTGTCTGTCGATCTTAAATTTCGGAGATGTTACAGCTGGCATGTACGGTAACCGTATGGCGCAAGTGTGCTTGTTTGGTTTCTCGCTTGCATAATAATTTGATAGTCGGAGCAAATAATGCGTTACTCATCCCGCCCGCCAGATAGCTAACCGCAGGTGACGCGTATCCTACGTGAAACAGACGGTCTAGAGCTCATTAACTATGTATATTGTATGTGTCATCATAGATCGGAATAATACCTACTTGTACAAGGTTACCAGCATCATCATAGTAAAAGTCTTTGTATTTAATGTAATATGCATATGCTTGTTTATCCATTTGGAATAGGTATATTTTTAATTAGAAATAAACACAACTTTACTCGCCTCTACTAAAGAGAAATAAATAAACATGAATGCAGTGCTAAATGGCAACACCTCGCGCAGATAGGAAACTACTAAAATACGTTATCTAATCGCTTTCAAGTTAATTAGACTGAAAAGATTTTACGTTTTATGCGTTCATGTAACATAACCAACATGTTTGGAACCGACTTATTTTGATGTTTTTGTTAGATATTTTGAAAACTGCTCTTTTTAACGATAGTCGTAAACGGATAACTAAAATTAAATAAAACCACTCTTAAATTACAGTGTTTGTTTATTGGTTAGTTAAGATAAAAAGTACTGTATTGTTTTTACGAAGTAATTTTCTTATATAACATAAAAGCCATTGTACTGCACATATAGGCAGCATTTAATTCTTAAATTAAGCTAGTGTGAGAGTATTATTAAATATAGTGTGACATGCCGTTTGTTGGTGGATTGCTCACAAACAAATTGGCGCGAGAGTGCGTGGGCCTGCGCGGATGCGGCGATAGGACGAGTCAACGCACCGCCCCACGCACCAATATTACGTTAAGGGCTAACATGTATGGACTTCAAGCAGTCGGTAACGGCAGCACTTGTCTTATGCCGTTTGCAGTCCCCATAAAAATACTGCCAGTGTTGTCAACTTGATGGTTCTGCTAATCTGTCCGTGTACAGCGGCCATGAAATCCTCAAAATTAGCTGCTCGTTTTAAATTCAATGCTTATGATTTGCTTAGTGCCACCTTTAGCAACGTTATCCATTTATTTTGACCTGTAATTCAATTTAAATACACTGGGATCGTTTTAAAGTAACTTGTACGAATGTTTTCAAACATTGATTTTACTTTTATGTATTGTACAATCTATACTTATATTATAAAGAGGAATTTTAATATTAAAGCGAAATTATGTTATGTTTGCTTTTAATGCAAATGTGCCTCAGTGTCGTAATCTACGTATAACGGCAAGTGTGCGAATGATACTGTTATTGTTCGAGCTGTTTATTGTGTCAAGGATTTTAAGGTTGTTTTATTCTTAAAAAAACCTATGAAGTTTTTAAATTTTGATTCAAACGAATTATTTATAAAATGTTATTTTTAAACAATCTGTTAAAAAATGGAACGTATCCATAATGTTTTTTAAATAAAATATAAAAAACAAAAATTTCCATTGTAATCCTTAAACCCATCAAATGCAACTGACGTTTCTTTCTTATCTTCACAATCATTAAAAGGTATATTTAAATTCAAAGTATTTCCTGATAGATCTTTTCCAACTCTAAAAAGTCTCTTTCGGTGTCCAGATTTATACTCGGAACACCCAGATGAAAGCGCCATCAAAATTAAACAACTTTTATGTCCACTCCACAACACAATCGCAGATCAAACTAACACCCAAAAGTCTACGTTGTTAAATTCCTTTCTAGTTTTATTTCAATCATAAGACACATCTATGTTTTCGTGTTATATTTTATAAATGAGGGAGAAGGGGCAATGACCTGTTTATGTCGTACAGACAGACGTCGGCGTCCGCATTTTATTTCGTTACTCCAGTTCAGGAAACTGCAGGAATCTAGCAGAGAAAATGTGAATGTATGTTTATTTTCTGTGATCATTTTCTCGCGCTCGACTAAAGTTACGTTTAATTTAACTTACACACAGGTTGTAAGATAGTGAAGGAACCTAGGTTTTATCGATCTTTAGTTTTTTATGAATCAAACAAAATTAGGTTTACACAGGCTTTATAGATTTTATGACAATTAACTTCGTGAAATAATTAAACACGATATGTGTTGTGTTATTATTGTTTTATTAAAGTATTTTCATAACAAAATGTACCTATTGTTTTTAATCCTACGTTATTATTTATGAGGCGCGGTTAAACCGACCATTAATTAATATTAGGAAAACAATAGAACATTTCCATATTAGCTATGAAGATTATTGATTCGTATAATTTCATACAATTCGATTTCATTGTTTACAATTGAATCTATATTTTGAAGTGTTTGTAGATATGAGTACGTTAGCATTGCCATGCCGAGCCACAAGTCAGCGTGTATTGATTGTATACAATGAAGACTTCTAATCTTATCACTTTATCTCTAGGCTCTTGTAAGAGTAGATAATCTTCATTTATTTATGCTTGAGACAACGATAAAAATAACAAAAACGCTTGCATTAACTGTTTAACCTTATATGGTTTTCAAAGTAATGTTTTGTGGTAATATTGTACATAAACCTGAACATTAAAAAAAAATTTGTATTCGAATTGTACTTCGAATATTATCCATTCTGTAACTTTGTTGACATAAATCAAAACAAAGTATATAAGCTATTATATTTATGTATTCTGAGACTATTCGTGTGAACCAACAACGCTCGCGCCGGATAACCGGACATCGAACGAAATCACACGTTCTTGTTTTGTTTTCTTTTTTATATTTCGAATTAGAGTTTCCGATCACAAATCCCAAGGGAAATTTATCAATTTCTGTCATTAGAACAATGTATTTTTGGAACAACGTATCTGTTGATATTCTTGAATTTTATAGTTTTTATAAACTTTCCATAAGAATCTGTTGAAAATTGCATACTGCACGTTTCGTATCTATACTGTACTATGCATGCACTCAATGTTTCCGCACTTGTTACCAGACAATGCCCCCCGACGCTGATGACGCCGCTCTGCAGGATAATCCTGGAGGAGGTGACGGCGGAAGCCAGGAAACACCCCCTCAACTTCGGCTTCGACGTTAACGAATCAGGTACGTTCGGTCATTTACCTTTCCGCACAGATAGGAATGAATCTGTTTTTTAAGCGCCTTTTTACGCATTACTCAAGCTGATAACGAAATGGAATGTTGATTTATGTTTTGGTTATTTTTATTTGTTTGTTGTTTTAATTCGTGAATGTTTTCTAAAGTTGATTGAATGTTTTCTGTGATAAATTCTTTTGAAATTAAATAGTTCTTCCTTAGTTCATTTTTACCTGATATGTATTACAAGTGGTTGAGCTTTAGCTTTGGCCTTAAACCCGGGTTGTGTATTTTTCTAATGGGTAACCCTTCAGTATCTTACTATATACCCTTTGATAAGTAAAGTGATTTAAAAGGAAATGTTTTTAAGTTGTCTTGTCCAGTAATATATAAACTGAACCAGGTATTGCATGTTAGCAAACCTTACCGAATGCTTATGTGGGGATATGATATCATTGTATCACATTATCGTGTAACGTTTGCTTTGTTACATCACCTACATGGGTTTACACCATAATTACAGAATGCTATGAAAATGAAAATGTTTAAGGATCACGAAAATTACTTTTAAGTTTAGTTTAGAACATTAAGGGCCTGTCCCACAATTCTTGGATATTGTCAGATAACATTCCAATGTACAAAATATGTGATGAAAATATGTATCGGATTGTGATACTCTATCTGATAGTGACGTCACTTGTAAGCTATCTGAATCTCGAAGAGCTAGTGGTAGGGCAGACCCTAAGTTTATAAAAGAAACATGTTTTAGTTTCTTGCATTGACATCATTAGGGCGCGACAGTACCCCCGTCTGTACTTTACACTATTGTGATCAGTAGTTTAAAATCTTGCTTACGGTTTTTATCTTAGATCTAAAAAACACAAGCATATTATAACACGTTGCTTACATAATGCATACAGCAATTATTTACTATTTAAGTATCTATCTATAATATATTATATAATATAAGACTCATTCATTATGTATTCTAGGATTGTACGAGTATAAGGTGTACACATAGCGACATTATTTATTTAAATATATACGAAGTTATAAATGACTAATTAATAACAGCAATTATCATTACGCGATCCGCTGCTCATTTGCCCCCTTCTACTATAAAAAAACACCAACAGTGCTATAAACAGATTTACTGACATTTGCGAGTACCTATCCTTATGTTTGAGTTATGATTGAACTATTATACATAATATGTGGATAGAGTATTAATGGCCTAAGGAGTAATTATTTTATGACCCCTCTTACGCAAATGGCGCAGCGACCTAAAGTGGATCTTTGCCTCCGACATGAGATCGGTAACGCCGCCTGTCTTGGGATGGCTACACTACTTATTCTTAAGACCATGAATTAAGAACAAGACATTTTATTAATATGCATATAAAACATTGTTTTTTGCCGATTGTCTTTTTTTTTAATTTCATTTGTAATTAAGCTTCACTAAATGGAATAATTAGGTTGAGTGACCTAGTTTTACTTTGGCTTGTGGTTTAAGATTAGGTATCACATGTGAAGTACTTTAGGTCATCGACTGTGATTTAAAATGCACAGAATAATGAATTGTATCAGAGCTTGCGTGTTATGCATGAAAACATAAGCATCGAGGCCGAATTCATAAAGCAATGTATCAAGATGTTTATGTGTTTACAATCAATGTTTGTTTACAATGCAATGGATGAATCTCAATATTTGCACTTTGTCAATGGTTTTAAATCAACGGTTTTTTTCCTAGAAAACAAATGTTTTAGTATGGAAATTAATTGGGATAACGTTAGTCATAAAGTTTGTTATTTACAGAGAGTTTTTTTCTAATATGTACACTAAATTACATAAGGAATATTTTTACATCATTCTTGGCCTGAAAGTTACATTAAGTAAAACTAAATGAAAGTTAGATTGGTATTAAAAAAAACATTTTAAACACAGCAGGTACAAGACATTTCATTCTACAAACAACATAATAATGGAGTTTCTCCAAGAGACGACAATCGTATGTATAAATTATGTATAAAAGTTTCTTTCTTTGTTACCTTGTAAGAATAAGAATAAATAATGGAGAACCTCTCATATTACTTGTCATACAATGAATAGAGAAAGTATTATATTATTCTGAACATTTTATGTAGTAAGGAGTCTTACATCTTGTATGTTGTATACTTGCTGTTCCCGTGCGGCGTCACCCGCGTGGAATTATAAAAACTCTATTTCATTGTTTAAATTTGTCAAATTCTCAATTGAAATGTCAAAATACCAAGCACCTTACTATGGCAATCTTGCTCCTTAATGTTGGCAGCAACTTATGGTCTCCTTCTCACATTAGGGTTTTTATCCAAAATATTAATCCCCTAAGTTTAATGGCGTGAAAATATATAGCCTAAAGCGTGACTGATTGATTGAAAATGATTATTTGTTTAATTTATTTTGATTTATTTGAAGAAAATGATTATTCAAAAATATGCTGTAATTGCTGACATCTTAGGCAAAAAAGAAGTGTTATAAGAGCAGGGGTATCTTGGGCCGAAACAGCCAAAGAAAACACAGCAACAAGGCGGCAAAAAGTTGTTTATTGGTTATTATACCAATGAGAATGGTCTGCGCGCGGACCCCGAGTTGGGAACCACACGCAGATACAAAAAATGTTCAAAATAAACAACGGATAGCCGTCACAATACAGCAAGCGGCTATCTGTTAAATTAGGCCGTCACTATCCCGCAAGCAACCTAATTTAACTACACTACTGTGCTATTCTGAATAAAATTAGTCACAAGACAGCAAGCTAATATACTCAGAATCGCGTCGTAGGAACTAAAGTGGAGAAGACAGTAACTGTTTTCCCTTTACTTCTCTCATTTGCGTAATGTACATGAAATGACTTAACCTAAGGCGCATGTGATACAACATCGTGTTTTAAAATACAGGTGGCGCCATCTAGTTTTGTACGTAAAAACTACTGGTCTCTAGTGAATATTTGTTACAGTGTGTGTTTTCCCTTTATTATAATAGTATAGATGAGCAAATTACAACTTTTATCAATTTCTATCTATGATATGAATAAACACATTTATGTACAAAGTCTCAATAACTTGTGCCAGGTGAACCGAATCAATATTCACTCAATGCATCTCGAAATACTTGATCTAGATTCCGTCCCTCGAGCTTAGGTATTATTTGTATATTGAGACGTTTAGATTGGTCGATAATCGCCTTGAATGTTTGTCAAATTAAATAGTGAAATAATATTTAAAGGCGTGGGTTATATGATAATATTAGAATTAATAAAACTAGTACAGTTTTAGTTGAATTTTGCCAGTATGATACGCCCGTCTTAAGGTTACGCGTAGTGATAACTATGCAATAACAATAACATGATGACCGTTGACGTTTCAGTGTTCATTGCGCTGAAGCTGATGCAAGCGGTGATGGCGCGTGTGAACGAGGTCTGTCTACGCTATCAGGACAACTCAAAGCTGGACTCTTTGCCGCCGCCGGCGCCGCTACCCCGTGAGTCGCGCACTGTTGCAGCCGCTATCAAGAACATGCGACGTACAATGGAGGATCGGCACGTCGTTATTGGCAACTTGGAAGCACTCTTCGGCATCGAAGTAAGGAAAAATTCTGTCTTCACTTATTAGACCCTTTTTTATCGTTACAACCACATATTATTGTGCATTGCAATTACTTCGTTTTTAATGTGGCATCAGGCGCTTCGCAAACGACCAGTATCCATCCTTTTGTTCCTTGAACAAAGCGCAATCTGAGCAAAGCATTGTAATATGTTGCTAGAGCCAGGGAATGCCCTCATTACTAAAACTAGTGTTGATACATTTTTAGATCATATCGCAACGAATCTAAATAATTAATTTATTTTATACAAAAATAAAATTTTGGGAATATCTTTTGGTTCCCTGATGAGTCGTCGGTCAGGAATGAGGACAGAACAATAAAATAATTCGGAACGATTTCCCTAACGTTGAGATACGTTCGGGGAAATCCGCATTAACCGAAGTAATCCGCCCAATCAATGTTGTTTCCGGAATATTTCCGAGCGGAGAAAGTAGGTCGACCTCACCACTATATAGGAAAGCACGTGCTTGCTAACTGGGGTAGACATACAATGAAAACCTGGAAACGAAAAATATAAGGGTTTTGCAATATAGTTTGGATGTTTGTAATTTCTATTTCACTAGCTGTTCCCGTGCGGCTTCATCCACATGAAATTATTTAAATTTTATTTTATTGTTTACATTTGTCAAATTATCAATATCAAATGTCAAAATGACATGACAAACCTCGGTAATCTTGCTTCCTTGATGTTGGCAGCAACTTTTGATCTCTTTCCCATATTTGGGTTTTTATCCAAAATATTTACCCCCTAAGTATAATGGCGTGAAAATATATAGCCTGAAGCGTGACGTAAGTGTAGGGCTTTTTATTAAAAAAAGAATTATTAAAAAATATGCTGCATTTGCTGACATCTTAGGCAGCAAAGAAGTGTGTGTTTACGCTTTATTATAATAGTATAGATAGTATACATAATTAATCATGTTTATATGTAGGTATAAAGAAGGTGGGAGATTAGAATACTTTCGTGTTTCAAATCTTATGCAATGAAATATTAAACTTTGGCAACTGAAGTTGTACATATGTTTGACCTAAATGCAACTTGCGACCGTATTTTCTGCCGTGAACACTCCCTGTTGATTAATTAGCCTAATTTCTTATGACCCAGAATGACTTGTCGCGAAATTGTATGCCCGAAAAGATTTTTAGTGGGAACGTATAATTTATGTTTGACTTGTGACGAAAAGTATAGTGTTCTCAAGTCAAAAAACAAACTTTTGTGAAGTGTTCATTTAAAAATCTTTAAAATAAAAACAGATTTAATAAGCCTAATTAAATTTTGTAGTGTAATATGTGGATTCATTCGAATTGTACGATCACTGGAATGCAATCTAGCGTAACGCAGTTGCACCAATTCCCGGCCTCGGCTATTGCAATCTCGGTAGTGGGCAGGCGCTAAGTATTGTATCATTTCTTATATAAAAATGCAATCGTTAAAATTTTTCATCGATTCAACAAGTTATATTTTGAATTAAATCTATACTTTTGTAGTATCACATGTAACTTACAACCAAATTTCAATACTTTTTTGACACATTTTAGTACATATAGTAAACTAGTTTAAGATTTTATTTGAAACTAGTTGTTACTCGCGACTTCGTCCTCGTGAAATTACAAAATAATAAAAAATATAGCCTATGTTACTCACAGATAAACTACATTTCTAACGGAGAAAGAATTTTTAAAATCGGCCTAGCAGTTTTTAAGTTAGTCGAATACATACAAAAATCCAAATTTATCCAAATATTAGTTAGATGACCTGTAATATTATATCAAAGTTTAACGTTTGTATTTATTGTATTTTCAGACATCGGAGCCGACGAGTTTCTACGCAGTATACGATGGGCACGCAGGTTCCGCGGCGGCCACGTACTGCGCGGCGCATCTACACCAGTACTTGGTGGACAGCCCCTACTTCCGCACAGACCTGCAGCGCGCCATGCTCGAAGCCTTCCTCAGAACTGACTCGGAGTTCGTCAGCAAAAGTAATCAAAGGGTGCGATATCTGATTTAATTTGTTGTTTTTCTAGCTATTTCTAAGTCAGTTATCGGTCAGCAGACACAATATCTAATTTTTTTGGTAGTATCGCTGACGGTATTATCAAAATGCAAGGAATACCACTCCAAATTATTAGAAAGTTTATGTTAGTTGGTTTCTCTTTGACTAATGTAAAACAAAAATATCTATCCTAATTAGAGAGGCGCCGGTAATTGTTGGTTCTGTCAGAAAATATGGAAAATCTACATGTACATAGTCAGTGATGTAAACGAAAATATATGACACGACAGTTACAGTGCCAAAGGATCTTGTGATACTTATTAACATTGATCTGAAGATTTGTGGGCTGCCAAAATTAAGTTTAACTTATGGCATCCGGGTCAGATAACTTGTAGGTTTATATTTCAGTACGCGATATCGCCAATTGAGTGATTCTTCATCTAGGTACAGTCGGGGAATCTGTCGATGTTCCACAACACCTACAATCGTTTAAACATTTTGACACGAGACGCGGAACAAAAATCAATACACTGCAACTTTTGCATGTTTCTGTACAAAAAGTAATTTACATGGCTAATTTCTATGTATGGCTATGTAATTGGTTGTTTCTAAAATTGAGGCAGAGAAACAAGGCAACGTTTCTGCAAATAGAAC